TAGGAGAGCGAGAGAGCGGGGCAAATTTTAGGGATTTTAAGAGAATGATTTCTAATAAAAACCCTAGTTTCCTCCTTTTTTGAATAATCAAAATACACCCATACCTTTAAAAACAAAACGTGGCCGTTTTCAAAACTTAATTGAACATAACATATATTCGTTCTTGACGTCAATGGTTGTAGACAAATCTACAATGATAAAAGTAGACATATATTCATCAAACATACAAATAAGGGCTAACTTTGTATTTATGTGGCCAAATTTATAAAAAAGACCACTATTACTATAAAACAAAATGAAAAAGTGAGTTGATAACTTATCATTTGAAACACGCGTGCATTAAATGCTGATAATATTTGTGTCTGCCACTTTTCTTGATTATTAAGCTTCAATCTTAAAAAAATACATATACTCCACGAGCTTTTTAGTCTTTTTAACTTGGCTTGCATCCCATTTGTGAAAGTGAGTTGATAACTTATCATTTGAAACACGCGTGCATTAAATGCTGATAATATTTGTGTCTGCCACTTTTCTTGATTATTAAGCTTCAATCTTAAAAAAATACATATACTCCACGAGCTTTTTAGTCTTTTTAACTTGGCTTGCATCCCAAAGTTACTATTTAGAGTAACTTTCTCTATATAAAAAATACGCCTAAAAAGAAAATTTCTCTAAATAAAGAAAATAGAGGGAGTATTAAATGATTGTAATTAATTGCAAGACAATTATTATGAGAACAAAACTCCCTAGTTTTATAGATGGATATGTTATTTTATATATTAGCATTTACTTGCATCATGCCAATAAGTTATTATATGTTCTTCACTTTATAATTGGTTTTAGATTATGAACCAAATATTATCCATTGAGAATTTTTTAAACGTGCACAATATGTTCTAATTGTTCCACCACAACGCACTAAGTGGGTCCTCAAAATATATGTCGGGCACGATCTATGATTAAATATTTAGAACTTTCAAACAAGAAAGTTAGCTATATTCAAATTTGCTAATGGTATGGATTTCGACATTAGGGGGAGAAAATAAACAGCTAGAAGAATAAATTAGTTGAAAAAGAATTATCGTTATTATATCTTGATCCTCATAGAAGACAATGTTTATTTAAAAGTTTTAAAGATAATTTATTTGCAATTACAAATCAATTGCCAGATATATTCACTGATCTAAAATGAGATAATTAAATCTCACATATTAGCTGCAAATGCTCCTATTAGAATTGAAGTCTCTGAAGGAAAAATTGTATATGCTAATGAATTTATGACATGTCTGCAGCATGGTAGATCGGTTCCAAAGAAAAAAAATAAAAGAAAAAGGAGCAAATATTCAAGATGATCAAGTTCTAGGAAAGTAAAATCTAAAAGAGATCCTAGACATGACTAATAAGTTTTTCAAAGAAATTAAGGTACCTGAAATGAATGAAAACTATGAAAATTTGATCAAGTGACAATCTTGCTGACTTGTTCACTAAAGAACTTCCTACTACAAGTTTTGAAAAGTTTGTGCACAAAATTGTAGACTTAAAGATCTCAAGTAATGATAAGGGACTCTTGCAAGTACTCTTGCACTCTTGCAAGAGACTGAACCCCTAACTTCGCTCCAAAAGCTAGCTCGTAGAGGAAGGACTGAATCCAGCCTTATATACTAGCCCAGGATGTACTCCGCAGGCAATGTGGGACGCATCATCCCCAACCCCATAAGACCCGACTGCCTCAGTCGGCGTTCTGACGAAACCCATGAGACACCGACCTTACGAAGCCAAAGCTCTGATACCAAATGATAAGGGACTCTTGCAAGAGACTGGACCCCTAACTTCGCTTCAAAAGCTAGCTCGTAGAGGAAGAACTGAACAAATGATAAGGGACTCTTGCAAGAGACTGGACCCCTAACTTCGCTTCAAAAGCTAGCTCGTAGAGGAAGAACTGAACCCAGCCTTATATACTAGCCCAGGATATACTCCGCAGGCAATGTGGGACGCATCAAGTAATATCTTCGTGAGGGGAAGTAAATACGCACTGCACTCTTTTTTCTGTTAACCAAGATTTTTTCCACTGGATTTTTCTGGTAAAGGTTTTTAATGAGACAGTATTGCAATGCGTATTTAAAAAACGAATAATGGACTCTTTTTCTTTCACTAAGATTTTTTTGCCATAAGGTTTTTTCTTAGTAAGGTTTTAATGAGACATATTCTTTGAAGAATGGACATCTAAGGTGGGGTGTTATGAAATCAGTGAATGTCTTATACGGACTAGTAATCTGTATTCATAATGATTGCGTACTCTATCTTCTTAATTTGTGTATAACTCTATTAGATCTATTTATGTACCTATATATATGTGGTTTCTCATCAATAAGAATAATACACTCTCATTTTCCACCATATTCTCTCTGTTCTCCCTTTATTTCTCTCCCTAATTTTATATTGTTTTATAACACATAACTGTTTATTGATGTCTATAATTCTCTCTCTTTTTTCGTTTGTGAGGTTATTTATTATTTTGCTCTTTTTATACTAATTTAATTTTATGGATAAATTTTTAATTAACTTTTATTATTATGACTACAATAAATTAATTAATAATATTTTAGTAGTTAATAAATGAAATTACCTTAGTAATTTATTATCCTCATAATAAATAAAGTAATTTGTTGTTTTAAATATATGCAAAGTACGAATTGGGGAAAACTCAGTTCCTAAAACGCCCATGCTAAGTTTATGGATGGGATAATATTAATTTTGGTGCCTGTACTGGTCATTTTTTTTCTATTTTAGAGTCTGAATGGAAAATTGTGACAACTGAGTGTCTAAACTTGTAATTTTTTTTTATTTTGATGTCTCCTGATGACATAACTACTGGAAAATCTAATGGGACTAATCGGGACATAAAAATGCCTACGTGTCTACTTAAGTGGACTGACTATTTTTACACATAGGATGCCAGCATAGCAAAAAGGATAAAATGTCCTATTTGCCCCTCTTTAATATCTCCCCAAACACAATCCAACACCCCCCCTTTTTGATTAAATACCTATCTTCATTTGAAGCAAAACTCTCATTGCCAAAAACAAGCCCAACCATTCCCTACTACCAACAATTTGCAAATTAGACCCACAAATACAAATGCAACACATTGTTAGAATTGAATCATAAACAAATGGGAAAAACTAAAAAAAAAAATCATCAAATGCGCATTAGATTATAATCTAAAAACAAGAATATACAACAGCATCATACATCGTAACCTAATCGAGTAGTGATTCTTAACTATATAAAAAGAAATTCGATTCCAGAATCGATTAATAAATCAAGTTCCATAAATCAACTAACATTGAGAACCAAAACCCAAAAGAGATAGAGAAACCAAAAGAGGAACGATCACCTTGTAGTAAGATGCCAAATCCATATTGCTAGCTTAGCTTAATACCTAGAACCAGAGTTAATTGAAGGTTTTGGAGAATTAGGGCTTTAGTTCAATTAAACAATTTGAAGGACAAATTTAGGATCCCTAAAGATGAAGATGAAGTTCAAAAGGAAAAAAGAACAATAATTGCAAACAATAAGTAAATAAATATATTTTCAGAAGTAGAGATAAGAGAGAAATAGATTTTGATCAAAAAAGCAAACAGAATTACAGAAAAGAGAAGAGGCTTTAACAGTAACATCTGCTTAGCAGTGAGCTTCTAAACCTTACTAGGTTTGATAAAGTATTTATCCCTTCTGCTTCCAACCAATCTAATCTCGCAAGCAACAAAATCTCCTTCCAAGATTCAACTCCATCCATGATGTTCGAACTAGGCATGCGATTTCACACTTGCAAAATTAAAAATTCATCTTTAAGAAGGACATAGGATGAGCGGGGGAGAAAGAAAGAAAGGGAGGCACTGAGAGATGAAATCATGATTTAGATCAGTCAAAAAGGGGGGCGTTGGATTGTATTTGAGGAGATATTAAAGAGGGGCAAATGAGACATTTTAACCGTTTTGCCATGCTAATGTCCTACGTGTAAAAATAGCCAGTCCACGTAAGCGGACATATAGGTGTTTGTGGGTCTTAATCAGTCCTGTTAGCTTTTTCGATAGTCCATGTTATCAGGAGACACCAAAATAAAAAAAATTACAAGTTTGAACACTTAATTGTCATAATTTTCTATTCATACACCAAAATAGAAAAAAATAACAAGTAAATGCACCAAAATATCATTATCCTTTTATTGATTGACAAAAATATCATTGAAGAATTTAATTTTATTGGTTGAAAAATAAAGGTAATTTAGTTTTGAATAGTAATTTCCTAATTGAATTATATGCTCTATATTTTTCTTTGATTTTGTTAAATAAATTATAATTATCTTCGTTGTATTTTTCATATTTCATTTTATGTGAAACTATATATTAAGATAATAAAATAAAAGACAAGCTCTAGTTTGCTAATTATCATTATTTGTGTTTACAATTTTTTTTTAAAAAAAATATACTAATATAATTATTTTTCTTAATAAATTTTTTTTATTGATCTTTTAAGTTTCAATTATTATAATTTAGGCTTATAATTTTCTTTTATTAAATCAATTTTTATAATTTTGTAATATATTTTATGTAAAAAAAATTAAATCACAGATATGTAAAATGAGTACACTTGCAACACAAGTTGACAAAAATTAATAAAACATAATTTTTTAATCGATAATGACTAAGATTATTTTAGAATATTCAAATTTCATTAAGACCGCTATCGAAACTTTCATTATTCTCCATATTTTCACATTTATATACGGTATATATTTTTGTAAAATTTTGAAATTTCGTAAATATAAAAAAAAAAAAACAATTTGGTAATTAGAAAAAAAAAAAAAAAAAAAAAAAAAAAAAAAAAAAACAATTTGGTATTAGAAAAAAAAAAAAAAAACAAAAAAAAAAGAAAACACAGAAAAAAAAAAAAAAAAAAAAAAAGAAAACACCACAGAAGCTTCTACGAGACAAAGACTCCGCTTCCACAGTCTCTCTTACTTTTCGTCCCCCTTGCTGGATATTTTGAGAGCGCCAGCGAGCGAGCAAGCGAAAAATAGAAAATAACAGTGAAAGGGGGAAAAAGAATAGCAAAGAGGAATGCGGATGACAGGAGCAATAAGCGAGGTTTTGGTAACTCTTCCATCGTCGGGAAGTCTCATGTCTCCCGAATTTAGGCAACAATTGCATTCCTTCTCCTATCTCTCTTCTGCACCTTCCAGAGTATCTTTCTGTCTCTCTCTAAGGATAATTAAGTTTTTAAGGAATTGTTGATTGCGTTTATTTACTTCAATATTAATTCTTTGCTGTTTGGTTGATACTGAATTGATTCTTTCATTTTCTTTGTGTGATTTTATGTAGTAATTCATTTCCTAGGAAAATTTTAAGTTTGATATTTTTATACTTTGTTTGATGATATTAGAATTCTTCTTTTTCATGGTCATATCACAAGTTTAAGTTTATTAATTCAGCATTTTTCTTGTTGGTAATGCTTAACTGCTTCTTTAAGTGATAGTTAAGTTTAGTTGAGGGGAATTTCTTTTCTTGTCAGGCAAAGCAAAGGACTACACATGTAAATTTAAATTCATAAAATTTGATTACTCTTACATAATCTTTTCTTTTCTAGAGGTATCCTTCATTTGGCATGCCCAAGCTGGGAAATGGAATGACCAAGTTCCGAGAAAGAGGCTTCATTGTCAGAGCCTCAGGGGATCCAAGCAATTATTCAGTTCCAATCTCCCCTCTTCAGTTTGAATCCCCAGTTGGCCAGCTTTTGGCACAAATTTTGCAAACCCATCCACATTTACTCCCTGCAGCCGTTGATCAGCAGCTTGAGAACCTCCAAACTGATAGAGATACCAAGAGAGATGAAACTCCTCCATCTCAAGACCTCCTTTACAAGTTAGTACTTCCAACTTTCTCTGCTAAATTGTCTTCTATTCTTATCAAAATTTATAATTCTTTAACAGTATCGATTTTTATATTTTGTCATCCTGGATGGAAATTGTATAAATTTTTTGGTTTTTTTTTTCTGGTTTGGCACTATGCATATTAGTAAATTGGATTTGAATGATCCATTGTAGTTAATAATGTCAAAACTAGATATAATAAGCTGAATGATAGAGCTTGAACTTCATGCTCCCATCACAGCTTGTTCCTACCACCATTTTCCACCATAAGATTGTTCTAGTCTCCTTTTCTACACCCAGAAAACTGTACATAATGGTCTTTATAAAAGTAGCAATCACAAATAAAATAAAAAATAAAATTATATCTCATGTACTTACATATATGTGTTTGGTTATTTATCTTAATTTTTTCTTTATTATCACATTTATGCAATTGATATTGTCTTAGTACATCTAGAAAAAAAAAAAAAAAAAAAAAAAAAATACTGGACTATTTCAATTGAACTCTTCACGAGTTGGCCTACTAAAAAAAATTAATTAATTTGAAATAAATTGAGCTCAAATAATTCATTTGAATAATGACATGCGCGATCTATCTGGTCGATTGACTTGATGCAGTAATTTTGATTTGATTTTTAATTATACAAATTTAGATTATTTTCTTGAAAAGTTTACTATTTTGAAAGTTGTTTGTTTCTGATTTAGCAAGTTTTGGAATTTTCTGAGTCTGAAGTCCTAATCTTAGGACAAGAATGGTCATTAAGTCTCTATAAAGAGCCTGTTTAATTAGTTATTTTCTTAGTCTTTTGATAATGAATTTTTAGTACTTTGATTTGGTTCAAAACCCTGCACACTTTGTTTCGTCTCTTCTCCTCCTTTCCTTCTATTGATAATTGTTTTTTTTTTATTTTTTATTTTTTTTATAATTTACTTCTTTCTCTGCTGTTACAATACCTTGGATGCTGTTCACAGCCCCTCTCCACCACCACCCCCCCCCCCCCCCCCCCCCTCCCCCCCCCCCAAAAAAAAAAAAAAAAAATTCTTAAAAAAAAAAAAAAAAAAATTCTTGTCTTTTCTCACCCTAACAAGCTAAAGTTCAACGTCCAATTCTAAATTCATTCTTCTTGCGTTAAATTTTACATATGAAAATCACAAATTGCTTGATGTTTCACACTATAAAAGCATTGGTGGGTTGGTTGGCCCGTTTGTCCTGCACGACGACTACAGGGGGAAGCAATAACAATTTTCACCAGATCATCTCTTTTAAATGGGCAACCAAGCAATACAGGATAGGTATGTTAGGAATGTAGTAATAAGTTATGTAATGTGTTGACCATGTGGTTTTGTAACTCGTTAGTAGATAGTAAGGGTTTGACCATATAAAGAGAGCAAGCAGTTGTCGTTGGAATTGGAGACTAAAAACACAATTATTTTTCTCTATAAAGTTTCTCAACCAATATTACCCTCTCGTTTCTTTGGCTTCTTTTTCTAATGAGCTTTTCCTTGAGGTGAAGGAATGCAATATATGTTCCCACAAACTCATAGCCAATCTCTTGATGTACTAAAATTGAGTGCAAAGTTAGGTGATCATTAGTATGATCTACCTTCCATTATTAAGTATTTAGATTTTTGTGCACATCAATAGCAGTTTCTATACACTTGTACAGTGTTCCATATTCTTCATATCCATATAGACATCTATATCTCTCCATATCAGTATAGAATCTTGCACACTAGACTAGCTCACACCATAATAGCATATCCAAGAATATTCTATGTAGGTAAATTACATCAATGACACCGAACTTTTACTTGGTCATTTAACTTCAATTTGTATAAACTTTGATTATTTTTTCAATGGGAGGTTATCTATTGCAATCCGGTGACTGGAAGTATTAGCATGACACTGAAAATGAAATTTTTGATTTTTAAAAAAATTGCATTTTCTCTCGAAAGCTAATTTGGGATATACCTATCAATTTTGTTAGCAAATAATGTCCACTCAAATGAAACAAGTTGAAAAAGAAAAAGGGTAAACGAAATCACTCTACATTGTATTAATTTTCTTCTTCCTCTCTCTCCATTATTCTTTCATAGCCATCCTTTTTTTATGAAATATTCTATGTCTAACATTATTCCAGTGAATTCTCATTGAAATCAAAGTTTAGTGACTATAACATAAGATATCAAACTTAAGAATTTTATTGATACTAAGTATATAGTTTGGTGACCATTGTGTATTTTACCCATTCTACACCATTATGCTTAACTTCTCAAGCTTTTAAAACATTTTGGAACTTCCAAACCGTTCTATACTAGAGCATTGTTAGACCTTTCCAGACTGTTGTAGAGCACTCTTGATTACCCCATCATCTTGGTAACCAGAGGTGGGGCCAAAAACAGAGTAGAGATTACCCCCCAATAGTAATTTTCTTGCACAACAATGACATGAAGTAGTCATCAACTTCTTTTTCCACTCTAATGAACTTCCATCAGCATAATGTCTGCTTCTCTAGATATAAACCCTAAAATGCTCAGTCAACTGCTTTGATGCTATAAAATAATAACCGAATCTCAAAACTAGTAGCACAATAATTATTTTATTTGAGATGTGTGTTCACTAACATTACTGAATTCTTGTTATAATTATTTATAATTGGGCTTTTTGAGTCCTATTTCTGTAGCTTTGTTAAAAGTGTGTTTGCTGTAATTGTAAATACAAGCTTATCAGTACAAATAATGTGTTTCTGTAATTTGCTTGTTAGATAATTGAATAATCCAAATCAGATATTTTTCCTCTTATCTCTGTTCTAAGTCTCTCTCTTTTTCCTATCGATCTATAACCTTTTCTTTTTCTCTCGTCGTACCTGCTGATTTTCTCAGCATGCAAACATCTCCTTTCCGTCTCTAAATTCTCTGGTTAGCAAATAATAACTAGACTAGGCCCTAAGTCCTAATTCTCCCCCCCGTGGCTGTCAATACTTCAGAATGCTAACTTGTCATTGTTCCGAATTGCTAGAGTTTCCACCAAACAATCTTCTATTCACTTCTTTCTCACATTTTCTTGGCATCCCATCAGGTCCTTTTGTGGAATGTTAACTTGTTGCATTTTCTTGATAATGGAACAAGCAAGAATTGCGGAATGTTTTTTTTGTATATGAATGTAATAGAAATAAGTGGAAAATGTTGTGATATTTGTGAAGATTGATTTTTCGTTTTCAAAGTAGTTTGGTGTTAGAGAAGTTATAGAAGTGGTGATTTCGATAGTGGTAAAGATTTAAAGCAGAAATATATTGTAAGGTGAAAAAGAGACAGAAGGTAATACAAAGAAAGGGAGGAGGTGATGGAGATGAAACAGATGAATGAAGTCAGTGGAATAATAATAAGCAACAGCAATGGAGAATTAAATTTTCTAATTATAAATACATAAAAAGTTAGAGATATTTAGTAACTTAATTACATAATAAGTTTTAAACTACAAATATGTTCCATTAATAACATTTCAAAATAAGATTCTACTATAGAAAAAAGCAACAATTTAAAAGCAAGACCTAATAAATATGTGAATTATTTATTCTTTATATTTAAATTATAAACCAAATTAAGTTAACTGAAATAATTCATAATTACACACATATATATTTGATATTATTTATGGCTTGGGTCGGGTTTGAAGGTATGTGAATTATTTATTCTTTATATTTAAATTATAAACCAAATTAAGTTAACTGAAATAATTCATAATTACACACATATATATTTGATATTATTTATGGCTTGGGTCGGGTTTGAAGGTTCATTAGTGAGCCTTTGACCCAATTCAATCAATGAATTATAAAGATGACCTGACCAACCCAACCCATTATATTTCAAACCCAGGTTGGGTTGGGTCACTCAAATTAGGTCGGGTTATAACATGTCGTGTGCAGCCCTATTTATAGGGGTAAAAGTAATCTAGTTTAGTATTTTTCGCAAGTAAATCCATCCAAATATATTTGGTAAGAACTAATTTGTTCGTTCAGGAACTTAATTGTGAAAAAAAAAAAAAAAACTTGAATGCAATTATTTTCGATATGAATGTCTAACTAAGCTTAGTGTCCATGTAAAATACAATAAAACAATAGAAAGAAAGAAACATAAAAATAATGATAAAAGAGAAGACAGTATAAAAGAAAAGTAGTAATTTAATGAGCAAAGGTTGCTCATTAACAGAGTCATTGTGACCTCTCCCAACATTAGGAGCGTACAAAGAAAATATAAAAATTGGAAGATCAATTTGAAACTGAAAAGTAAATCTTTGTTATTGATTTATTGAATCAAATTAGGGTGCATATGAATAACATGTTATAATTTTTTTGAATGTAAATATTCTAATTTATAATTTTCCGAACAGTTTCCATCTAATATTTATATTTAACCATAACACTGAATTTGTTTCAATATGCTAAATAATTAATATATACAGAATTATTATAAAATATAATAATTTGTGCTGCTTATTCTGTTTTAATAATAACAACAAATATTAAAAACTTGACCCATCATTGAATATCATGGTGGTGGAATTTATGCTTAAATTAATTATTATACTTTGAATTTGGCTCATCAATAGAAAAATAAAATAAAATAAAAAAGCATTGTAACCCCATATTATTTTAGGTATTGACAATCAATTTTATTTTCAAGTTATTCCCATTATTGGAATTGAACCATAAGAACATTCCTTTCAGATTTTACTATAAGCATGAAACTTGTGAAAAATAATGAATTATACTAAAAACAAACACCATTCACAAATTTACAAAATATAATCAAATTAGACTATTATACAAAATTTACAAGTACACAGTGTAAGTGTTTGATATATGTGGGTGAATAAGAGAGAAGGTCAAGAGGGAGATGGTGGATGAGCAGGCAAAGGGACAGAGAGGGTGGTATTGGTAAGAGCTGCTGAGCTCTCATGGCAGATTGTGAGCCTTCATCATTATAGTGATGCCCTTGAGCTCATGGCGATGCCATTGTAACTCCAGTTACAAATCTCCTTCTTTGCCATAAGTTGGTGAAAATCTAGCTAAAGACAGGCACAAATTATCATATGGAGAGAGAACCATAAATTCCAATGCAGGAAAGGATCATCAAACCCCCTTACACACTTGCACAGATAGTTGATTGAGAATTGGAAAATCTGAACTAAGAACAGTGTATTATCCTATCAAAATTAATTAGGCATCTAAACTTAAGGTTTAAGGTGTCCACTTGTTTAAAAGGCTAGACTTTTCAAAACATAGTGTAGCTCACCTATTCTGGATATTATTCATTGATATGGATGATTCTTCTGCAATTAGTTTAACATTTTGATTTATTCACTGAATATCTGGTAATAAAAATTCCAGAAGAATAGCGGAAGTGAGGGAGAAGGAAAGGCGGAATGCATTGGAGGAGATCATTTACTCTTTGATAGTGCAAAAATTTTTAGATAACGGCATTTCAATGATCCCAAAAATATCAGCAAGCTCAGATCCTACTGGAAGAGTGGATTTTTGGCCAAACCAGGAACAAAAATTAGAATCTGTTCATTCTCCAGAAGCCTTTGAAATGATTCAGAGCCACTTAACTCTTGTGCTGGGAGATAGATTAGTAGGCCCTATTGATACTATTGTTCAAATTAGCAAAATAAAACTCGGAAAGTTGTATGCTGCATCTATAATGTATGGGTATTTCCTCAGAAGAGTTGATCAACGGTTTCAGCTAGAGAGAACCATGAATACCCTTCCCAAGGGTTTTGATGAAAGCCGGAGAATATATGATGATGATCCAAGTCCGGTTAACTGGTTTTGGGATTCAGATTCTTTGATAAGGATTCAACCTGATGATGGAGATTATAGTGATGAGGGGTTCATAGATACAAGTAGAGAAAAGTCAAATAGACTGAGATCCTATGTGATGTATCTGGATGCAGAGACACTTCAAAGATATGCCACCATAAGATCCAAGGAAGTCATGTCTTTGATTGAAAAGCAAACTCAAGCACTATTTGGCAGGCCTGACATAAGGGTTATGGAGGATGGTTCGATTGATACAGCTAATGACGAAGTGATTTCAATGACTTTCTCTGGATTGACTATGTTAGTTCTGGAAGCGGTAGCGTTTGGATCATTCCTATGGGATGCAGAAAGCTATGTTGAATCAAAATACCATTTTCTTAACAGCTGAAGACGTTTTATTTGGTTTTGCATTCTTGTTGCTTTGTAAATTAGTGATGCTGGGTCTTTTTGTATTTTTTTTCTGTTTGGCAGGTAAATTGCAATATATTTTTCTGTTCTGGCAGGGTAAGGTGCCAAGTATATATATATATAATATAATATATAATGAGATGGATGATGGGGCATATATATATATATATATATATATAATTGAGATGGATGATGGGGGCATGATGTATTAGTAGGTCCTCAATGCTATTAATTTGTTTATACTTACAAAGCAAGTATAGAAATCTTTCTTCAAGCAGCAAAATATCTCTGAAAGTTGGGATGAATTCTTTATCGAATTAGGGTTTTATTGGATCATGTCATTATGCGTTGTGTACAAATTTCTCACTCATGCAAAATTATTGATTGATTATGGAAGCTACCGACGGGTTAACTTACTGTGATCAATTTGAAAGACGACTTCCATTATTTATCCAATTAGGGTTTTGAAAATTAGTGTACTCTTCCAATTAGGACCAAATGAGACCCAATCGGAGTTTATGGAAGAGGATACCATTTTTTCTCTTTGATGCATGTGGGCGCAATGGATGCAATCGAAAGTGATCGTGCACCAAATTCTATGTAGTCTGTATAATGCGAGGAATGTGGACATTTATTTTGAGAGCTAAAACCGTCTCCAATGCTAATACTAATGTGAATTGGGGCTGTATAGAAGGTGGCGATTTTGTCCTATAAAATAGAAGGTACGAATGATTATGCAGTTAAATGTATATTTAGAGCATTTGAATGTGTAAATGTCTATTTAGAGCATTTCAATGCTAACGTGGATTACTTTTATTTAACTGTCACATTAGACAAATAGAAAAATCTTTTTTTTTTTTAAATAAATAGATATTGTCTACTACTACCTTCTATTTCTAAAGGGCCTCTCAGAGAATATGGACATTTATTGATCTATATTGATTGACAGTATATTTCTAAAGGTTTTGAAAGTAGTGCATTGGAGAGCTTTTAAAATTTAATGTTTATAAATAGACATTCAGCCTAATCACTATTCACATCTTATATTTTATATGATATATGAGCAACAATTCACATCAGCATTGGGGATGCTGTTATAAATATTGAATTTTTAAAATAAATAGACAATGTGAGCATTTATTACTCTATAATGATTGGCTGTAAGCATGACCATGGTTCTAGAACCATCGGTTTCGGTTTTAAAACAGCCGATTCTGCTTATTAAAAAGGTGGAATCGGAATCGAACCATTTTTAGATGGTTTTTAAGATGATTTTGGAACTGTCGGTTTTGGTTTCTTTCCGATTTTGAACCAAAACTAAATAATATATTTTAAACTTTTTAAAATATTGTTTTTAAATTTGTAGCTTGAATAAATAATAAGAAGAAATATTACTATTGAAAAAAAAAACTAAATCAATTTAATAAAAATTCTTAAATATTACTTTGAAAAACTAGATAAAATAAAAAATAAGTTGAGAGTTTTTTTAAGAATATATTTTTCATGGTTTCAAATCGGAACTACTGATTTTAAACCAAAACCGCCAATTTCGATTTCAGAAAATGAAAAACCGAAATCGAACCTTAAATTTACGATTCCGATTACGATTTTAGAACTAGAACCATGGATTACAATTTATTGCCAATTTTGATTGGTTAGGTTTCAATTTGAAACCAAACTGTAGTCATCCCTAATTGGTTGTATATCAAATTATGAACCCATAAAAGAAAAAAAGAAAGAGGATGTAAGAGGATGTGAAAATAGTGCATTGGAGAAAGATTTTTAAAATTCAACGTCTATAGATAGACATTCAGCCACATTATCATTCACACCTTTTATTACATATGACATATCAATTACAATTCACATTACCAGTCACACCTTTTATTCCAAGTCACATCAATCACAATTTACATTAGCACTGGAGATACTTTATAGATGTTGAATTTTTAAAATATCTCTTCAATGGTTTAGTTTTGAATCATCTTTCATTCTCTCTTTTTTTTTTGTCGGGCCCTACAATTTAATATTCAACTAATTACTAAAAAAGTAATAAATCTCCATATTATTTAACAAACCATCTAGAAATAGAAGTTGGGCTAAATAATATCTATTTATTTTTTTAATACCACATATCAAATAGACATTAATATTAATTTTTCTATTTTTTTTTAAATGTGACAATTAAATAAGAGCTATGCACAGAAATTCATGAAACTGACTAATAAAAAATTGATGGTGATTTTAGGGAAATAAGGTCCATTTTAGGGTGCAAAGAATGAAATGAAGGAATAGGATTGATTGAAGGTGGAAAATCGCATCGGGATGGGACCTAAAAAGTTTGGGCCTAGTCCAATAACTAACGGTAGATGGTACGCCTTTTGACGTGGGCGGCAACAGTCAACACACCCTCCTAATCCTATTGGCGCCGCTTAGAAGCTTGACCCCAAAATAAGTTTTGTATTTATTATGCAGCTCCCACGTTTGACACAAAATTCTGTATCTTATATTTTTTGAGGAAAAATCATATTTATACACATAGATTAGTCCTAGAAAGAAAAAACACATAGATCTAGTCCTAGAAAGGAAAAAAAAAAAAAAAATATTATATATATAATATATATATATTTAAAAATTAACAAAAAATAATTAAATTAATTATATATTTAAAAAATTACAAAAAATAATTAAATTAATTTATTTTTTATAATCTGGGATTCCTACAATCATGAGGTTCCAACAAGCATATATGCAGTTTTTGCCTTTCTCAATTAATTGTGATTTTTGGCTTCATCCCTGTCTACAAAATCACAGGAACTCAACTTTTGTGAGTTCATCTCTAAATTTGCATGGTAATGCCAGACCATGTCCAACCTGAAAGTTAAAACCTTTTGCATGGAATCTGTTGTTAAAGATAAAACTCCCATCTTCATCATCTTGGTTGTCACCTTACGATCTATATTACATCATCAGAACAAAACCGATGAGCAACCGCTTCAAATATATATTAAAATATATATTTTCTCAGTTATTTATTGTCTAATCCTTGATAGATACTCATTCATTGAAATTAAAAATAAAAAATAAAATAATTTTTAATATAATCCCCAATTATTACTAACCAAACCGGAACAACCGTCTTATATATATATATATATGTAGCAGTCATCACCTAATACATATATAGTTTCAACCTTACTAGAAGGTAGTTGGGTCCCTATTAAACCACCACTGCCAATCGAATAAACCAAAATTTTTAAGATGAAAATTGAATTTAACCAATTAGTGTTAAAAAAAAAAAAAAAATCAAATCGATACAATTCAATCAATTCAGAATAGTTTTTTTGTTATTTCTAATTGATCTTAATAAAAGCCGAGTCAGAAATATAAACTTTTAGTTTTTTCTATTAAAATTAGTGCCAATACATATTTTTAGTTTATGGATTTCATTCCGATTATGAATCCATCTATATATTAAAAATACATTTTTAACTTATAACAATAGTATTTTTTATTATTCATTAAGGAAAAATAAAAGATAAAACATGAAAAAATTTTCAAGATATCATTCGAAAATTGACTTAGTTTATGAGTGGTACTATACACATAGATATGTCTTATCTGAAATTAACGTATAAAAAACCAAACAATATGTACATACCGAGAAGTACAAACAGCAGACTAAGACCGTTGTATTCGTATATAAAAACTTGGAAGGAAAGCAAGTAGAAATTAGGATTGAGGAGAGAGAAGAGCAAAAAGAAGGAAAGAAAGAAAGAAAGAAAGAAAGAAAGAAAGAAAAGGGGCTGATAATAAGAAGAAAAAAATAAAATGGAATTGCCAATGCCATGCCATTCTCTCTTCTCTCTCCTTATTTTAATTTCTTCTTATGGGTTTGCGAATATTGAGGCTTTTAACCTCACAACCATATCGTTCGACGAGGGTTACGCTCCTCTCTTCGGCGATGGCAATCTCGTTCGCTCTCCCAATGGCAGGAGTGTCCGTCTTCTCCTTGACCGCTTCACAGGTCTGTCTGTCTGTCTGTCTCTCTAATTACAACAAATATATTCTTTTATATGAATCATTTATTTCTATTTGGAAATTCAGGTTCTGGTTTTATTTCTTCAAAAATGTACAAGTATGGATTCTTTAGCGCCAACATCAAGTTACCATCGGATTACACAGCCGGCTTATGCGTTGCATTTTATGTACGTTCATGTGTGTGTGTGTATATATATATATATATATATATATATCTGTTACTCAGATTTTAAAATCAAAAATATATAAAACCTTAATTTTATATTTGGTATATAGACATCAAACCAAGACGTGTTTGAGAAGACGCACGATGAATTAGACTTTGAGTTCTTAGGAAACGTAGAAGGGAAGCCATGGAGGTTTCAGACGAACTTGTATGGAAATGGCAGCACAAGCCATGGCAGAGAAGAGAGATATCGATTATGGTTCGATCCCTCCAAGGAGTTCCACCGATACAGCATTCTCTGGACAGAATACAAAATCATGTAAGTAAACTTTTTTTTTTTTTTTTTTCTCTTTTAATCTAATTGATTGATTTCCAATTAACCTGTTAAAAACAAATAAATAATTTACCAGTTTCGGCCAATATATATATCTAATAAGGAAAAATCGGTATAAATAAAGAATATAGGAAAAAAGGATATATGTTTTCTGTATTGAGGTGTTATTATGATCAAACAAGAGACACGGAAATAAAGGGAGAAAAGTTTGGAGTTGCGTGTGGGATGTTTGTATGAACTAATGGACAAGGTTCAACTTCACTACTTGGTAGGCTGCTTTTGGATCTTTTTATATAATTATTAGTTTGGTTTTGTGATTTTAATTCTAAAATCTTTTTATTAGGTAGTAATCAAATTATAATTTCACATTAAATTATATAATTATTTTATAATAATTAATTACATATATTCATATCTTAGTTTTCTTTTTTCTTTCTAGAAAATATATATTATTATTTCTAGCAATGATATCTGGATATTCTAATTTCTGATTATTTAGGATTTGAATCTCATAAATATATAGGAGGGTTTGGTGTGATAAATATGAATATTCGATTAATTAGAAAATAAAATATATTTGTAAATGTTCAGATTTTTCATTGATGATGTTCCAATCCGAGAAGTGTTGCGCACCAGCGAAATGGGCAGCGAATATCCATCAAAGCCAATGTCCTTGTATGCCACAATATGGGATGCCTCAAATTGGGCAACCTCAGGCGGACGGTACAAGGTTAATTATAAATATGCACCATTTGTGTCCGAATACAAGGATCTAGTGATAGAAGGTTGCCCTGTCGATCCAATTCAGCAATTTCCAGTAGCTTCTACGAGCTGCTCCGAGAGCAATGCAAGGCTGGAGAGTGCAGAGTATGCCACAATCACACGCAGGCAACGCATGGCTATGCGTAGATTTCGTCAACGTCTTATGTATTATTCTTACTGTTATGATACATTAAGGTACTCCGTGCCGCCACCGGAATGTGTAATTGATCCCATTGAGAAGGAACGATTCAAGGACACTGGAAGATTGAAATTCGGCGGTAGCCATCAAAGTCACAAACGCCGGTCAAGGCGTCGGGGCCGACCTCATGTGGATGACCGTACTATCTAATTTTAATGTCAAGTGTTGGCCTTTCTTTGTACCATAATAATAATAATAATCTAAATTGCAATTAGATTCGTGTTATCCTCTCATCAATAATCTGCTATGCGATACCATCTATATAAATATATTTTATATGTTAGAGTATAGAAACGATGATGTGGCATTTAATCTTTTATTTTTCACTCTAATTGATTTTTTTTTTTTAAAAACATATCCGATTAAAAAATATAAAAATCATATAATTTACATATCGCGCGAGTTAATCACTGGTATATTTATATATGTTATATTTTTCTCATTCTTTTAAGGCAGTGATATTTGACAGTTATAACCCTTAACAATTAGAAAGGATAACCTATGGGAAAAGGTTTATTGGGTCCAGTGTTTTGTTTTTCTAGGGAAACTTGGCATTAAATGTCAGTTTTTATAACTAATAATGGCAGTTGTTATTAGCCGCAAGAATGATTTTGGGGCAAAATCTTCTTTAACAACTAGGCATATATGCAATGGAGAATGAGATTGCATGGAAACAAAATAAACTTGAGATACGTGGAGAAGGGGCAACCATTGTAAGTGCAATTTTGGGGCTGCATTTAATGTAGGGAACAAACCCTTTGCATGCCCATGAGCTCATGATGGAAGATATGCATAAAGTTTATGCTCATGCTTGAGCATTGTTATGATATTAACTTAGAAAGTAATTTACTTGGTAAATATGTATTTTGACTTAGGAAGGTTCTGTCTTCTAGTGATGGAGAATGTAAATGATATTACTCGAGACGTTTTCATAGAGGAAATTTTTAGTGTTGACATGGATGATTGTTGATGCGAATATTGTAAGTAATAGTGGAAAGACCGATGATGGTCATGTCATGGAATGAATAAGAGAGGAAGATATATTTTCAAGTGATAACAAGGAGGGATTGAGAGTCGAGATGGTGTTTCCAATAGTAAATAGGTTATATGATTTTTACTTGAAGCATAGAAGAATTAACGGTTTTGATATTGCAAAAAAACAAAATCATCTAGAAAGGATATGGATGGTGAATGTAGGTATCATATTATTTATTGTGACAAAGGATAAAAATCGAAATCATAAAAGTTAAATAAGAGTTGATTGTTCAGCAAGTGTGCATATTGCGCTTCAAGATAACAGTATGTGGACCGCGTCAAAATATGTGTCAATTCACAACCATGACATGGATCTATAAATGTCTAGAAATAAGGCATTACAATTTGCTTTAAAGATTAGCGAAATGTCGTCAGCAAAGAATAGGTGAGATATCTTTGGGGGACCTCTTATTATACTACAACCATGGAGAGAGCCAGTAGCAATATGAAAAGAAATAAGGCACGAAAACCCTTGTGACAGATTAAAATCGAATCAAAAGTTAAATAAGAGTTGATTGTTCCAGCAAGTGTGCTATTGCGCTTCAAGATAAACAGTATGTGGCCGCGTCAAAAGTTTGTGTCAATTCACAACATGACATGGATCTATAAATGTCTCTAGAAATACGGCATATAACAGTTCTGCTTTAAAGATTAAGGGAAAATGTCGTCAGCAAAGAATAGGTGAGATTATCTTGGGGGGACCTCTTATTATACTACCAACCATGGCAGAAGACCAGTAGCAATATGAAAGAAATAAAGGCAACGAACCCTACCGCGCAGAAGAATGAAAGTTTTTACGGCGATAAAGGAATCGTTATGCTCAGTCCTTGGTAGGAAAAATTAGGCCAAGCTCGCTTACTTGCGAATTGCTTTATATTGCAACATATGAAATACATGCATTATCATAATACCCAATTGAACTGAGAAACTTCATCTTTAAAATGAATATCATAAATTAAAGGTGCATATTGCCGCTTTCCCAAAAAACAGTATTGTGGGACCGTGTCAAAATATGTGTCAATTCACAACATGACATTGGAGTCTATAAATGTCTAGAAATAAAGGCATTACATTTCTTTAAAGATTAGCGAAATGTCGTCAGGCAAAAAGAATAGGTTTGAGATATCTTTGGGGACCTATTATTATTACTACAACCATGGAGAGAGCGTAGCCAATATTCGAAAGAAATAAGGCACGAAACCCTCCGCGCAAAAGAATGAAAAGTACAGGCGATAAAAGAATCGTCCTTGCTGCAGCCTTTTGGTAGAAAAAATTAGCCAAGCTCCTACCTTTTGACCGAATTGCTCTTATATTGCAACATATGAACATTACAATGCATTATCATAAATACCCATTGAACTGAGAAACTTCTTCTTTAAAGAATATCATAAATAAAGGATGTATCATTGCACTTCAGGATACAGTATGTGGACCGTGTCAAATATGTGTCAATTCACAACCTGACATGGATCTATAATGTCTAGAAATAAGGCATTACAATTTGCTTTAAAGATTTGTAGCGAAATGTCGGTCAGCAAAGAATAGGTGAGATATCTTTAGGTTGGAAACCTTCTTATTATACTTACAACCATGGAGAGACAGTAGCAAATATTGAAAAGAATAAGGCACGATAACGCTTCGCGAAAGAATGAAAGGTACCGGCGATAAAGAATCATTTGCTTGCTGCAGTCCTTTGGCTTAGGAAAAATTAGGAAGCATCCTTACCTTGACGAATTGCTTTATCATTGCACATATGAAATACGAATGCATGTATCTAAGATACCCATTGGAACGAGAAGAATCATCTTTTAAAAGATATCATATAAGGTGCATATTGCGCTTCAAGTAACAGTTATGGACGTGTCAAAATATGTGTCAAATTCACAAACCAATGACATGGAATCTATAAAATGTCTAGAAATAAGGCATTACAATTTCTTTAAAGATTAGTGAATGTCGTCAGCAAAGAATTAGGTGAAGATATCTTTGGAGACTCTTATTAACTATAACATGGAGAGAGCCCAGTAGCATATGAAAAGAAATAAGCACGAAAACCCTCGCGCAAGAATTTGAAAAGGTTACGCGATAAAGAATCGTCTTGCTGCAGTCCTTTGGTTAGGCAAAATTAGGCCAAGCTCCTTACCTGACGAATGCTTTATATTGCAATATGAAATACAATGCATTGATCATAGATACCCATTGAACTCGAGGAAACTCATTCTTTAAAAGAATATTCATTAAATAAGGTGCAAATTGCGCTTCAGATAACAGTAATGGGACCGTTGTCAACAATATGTGTCAATTCACAACCATGATGATCTATAAATGTCTAGAAATAAGCTTACAATTTGGCTTTAAAAGATTAGCGAAATGTCGTCAGGCAACAAGAATAGGGAGATATCTTGGGGGACCTCTTATAGACTACAACCGATGGAGAGAGCCAGTAGCAATATGAAAAAGAAATAAGGGCACGAAAACCCTCCGCGCAAAGAATGAAAAAGGTACGGCGAATAAAGAATCGTCTTGCTGCATCCATTTGGTACGGAAAATTAGGCCAACACTCCTGTACCTTGACGAAATTGCCTTATAAAGAATGAAAAGGTACGGCGATAAAGAATCGTCTTGCTGCAGTCCTTTGGTAGGAAAAATTAGGCCAAACTCCTTACCTTGACGAATTGCTTTATATTGCACATATGAAATACAATGCATTATCATAGATACCCATTGAACTGAGAAACTCATCTTTAAAAGAATATCATAAATAAAGGCACCCCACTCCATGCGATCATACAGCTTGCTAATATCTAATTTCAAAGCTGCGTACTCATCCTGAACTCTTCTCTTTCTATTAAAATAATGCATCAGCTCAAATGCAATAATACTATTATCATGAATAATACAGCCTCCAAAAAACACACATTGAGTGGATGAAATAATTCGAGGAAGGAAAGTTTGTAATCTATTAGCACTCATCTTACTCATAATTTGATAAAAGCACATTACATAGTGCAAACAGTCTTAGATCATCCATACTCTTTGGAGTAGTCTTTTTCAAAATCAACAGAAAAGGCTGTCTTTTTCACCCTTGCACGAAAATGACCATCTTGCAAAAAATTAATACAAGCTTGTGCTATATCACCACCAATAACATCCTAATAATTTTGATAAAAACCGTATTAAATCCATCAAAACTTGGTGATTTATCCGGCCTCATGCTAAAAACAGCTCTATGGACTCTTCCATCATATAAGGAGCAGTTAAAAAATCATTATCAGCATTAGAAACACAAGAAGGAGCATTGAGTGATAACATGTTCGGTATTACCAAGTTGCATTGTAAAGATGGGCTAAAAAATACTCTGTAATCATTGCCTCCATTCCATTGCTACCCTCCTTCTAAACCCCCGCCCCATCTTGCAGTCGAGATATCGAGTTGACGTGACGTTGCCATGGCATGGAAGAATCGAGTATTCGAATCTTCTTCCTTAAACTAGAAGACTTTTGCGTGTTGCTTCCATTTAATATCTCAATCGTTAAGAAGATTATGAAAATTATGTTTGGCCTCTTTAAATCGAGCAACATCCTTTAAAACCCATGAACTCCGAAGCTCCTTCATAACACGGTGGTAACTTTGAAGCTGAGTCTTGTGCAGATTTGTAAATCCAATCCCCAGAGATATAGTGCTTCACCACATCTCGTCATCTTATCAAAAATATCTAAAGAAGAATTAAATAACCAAGACTCAGTAATAAGTTGGTGACATTTGAGGCTCTTGTATCCAGGAATTCTCAAACTTAAACCTAGCAGCTTGGGTTCTCGGTATGTAAGAAAGGACTTCCATAAAGATTGTTAAGTGATCTGAAGATGAGTGATCTAGGGTGTAAGCTAGCGTATGTGGAAATAAAGAATGCCAAGAATGAGAAGAAAGAACTCGATCAAGTTTCTCCTCTAGCTAATTCTCAAATCCTTTACCATATTTCCATGTAAATTTATATCCCCTTCATAGGAAAATCAAATAATTGTACATCAGAAATAGCCTAACGAAAGCCTTGAATTAAAGAAGTTTGTCTCTGTCCTCCATGTTTCTCATGTACTACCAAAATATCATTAAAGCCCCCTAGGCAAATCCAAGGTACAAAACTATATCTCGCCAGATTTAGCAAAAGATTCCAATATTCACTATGTCTTGATCGGTATGGATTTCCATAAATCTTGTTAATCTCCATCTACCAAGATCAGTAACCTTAACTTCCACATCAATGCATTAAGAAGAAAGGTTGAAGGGAGTAACCATATTAATGTTTCTCCATAAAAGAGCTAAACCACTGCTATGCCCCACACATCAATCACAATACAATCATTAATTAGAACCCAAAATATTTTTTATTTCATTAACTTTATTTTGGAAACACAATGTTTCAATAAGAAAAATAAAGTTTGGACTCTTCTCTCTTATAATTTCTAGTAAGGCTTGAACTGCATGGGATTTCCAAGCCCCCGACAGTTCCAACTAAGACAACTCATTTCTTTTGACGGACTTGGGAACTAATACCTGTCACTGCAACTTTTTTTGGATCAAAAGACACTTCAATAGTAGTGTTATTATTTTGGCCTCCGTTGAATCATGCTCTAGGCATATTCTTTTTCTTTTAGGATACTAAAGACCAACCCATCCTTAAGACCCTGTGAAGAAATAGAGTGTGAACGGGACTCATTTTCGCGATCTCCCTAGATTCCTTGCCTTGATTCATGCTGCCAATTTCTCTACCTGTCTCCATTTGAAATTTTTGAAACCCACTGACATCCTAAAAAATCTGGGATTTCCAATATCGGACATTCTACTGTTTCCGGCATCATCCCCAACCGACATCGATGCAATATGCAACAATTTGGCTCTAAATAGTCATTTGTGAATGACAATTTGGAGCTTGAATATCCACAGAATACATTCGAACTGCCTGAACCGGAGCAACCTCAATATGTTTTAGGCAAAAACACTCAGTATGTCCCATTAGGCTGCAGATGAAACATAAACTTAGTAGTCTCTCATATTTGAACGATGCGCAAAACCATTCACCACGCATATGTTTAAGCCTAACACCTTTTCGGAAAGGTTTCCAAACATCAAGACGAACGCGAATTCGCATATAGGATTTCCACATTCTAGTAAAGTTATTTAGATTTGTAGAAACAAATTCACCTATTACTTCCCCGATATCCCGCATCACCCTCTCAGACATAAAGCCAACCTGCAAATCATGCACTTGCACCCATATTCGAGTATAAAATAAAGGAACCTCCATAGGGTGGTTATGGCCCTCCATTTTTTCCAAAAGTAGTAGGTGATTATCGAACATCCAAGGACTCATCTCGATAATATGATTGAGATCATACTCATGGCAAAATTGATAGATATAAAGCCTACCATTCAATTCCTTCGGCTGTATCCCTAGTGTAGGTGTCCAGAGAAATGTCATTATTTGTGTCATTGCATTATAATTAATTACCTGTTTTGCTAAAAATCGTCTAACCAAATATAAACAGTAACTATTTGTTTTTGTCAACTCCTCGCCATATGCCAGCCCTCCTTCCCCTTCTCCATCAACCGAAAGGTTTCCCATTTCCACTGAGATGTTACTCTCCTCCATAGTAGAACATCGGAAGGAAAACAATCAGACATACAAAATAAATAATGAATGAAACAAAACTTGTCACAAGAGAAGACGCAACCTAACTCCTCATATGAGAAAGAGAGAGAGATAGAGATGAAACCCAAACCAATAATTGTAAGAGAATTAAAACGCAATTTTTCCAGTTTTATATTTTAATTATTATAAATTTATAAAAAAAATTGATGGTCCATTGGTTCAAACTCATGACCAAGGTTGTGTTTGACAATAATTTTTTAAGTAGTTTTTAGTGTTTTGACTGGTTAAAAAGCTACACACTATTTTTTATAATGTTCAATAAAATAGCGTTTGAACTAGCTTTGAGAGAAGTTAATGTAGCATTTCATAAAAAGTTAACTCGTATAATATTTATCTTTTGGCATTTTATGAAAAGCTACTAAAACAATTAACAATTAAACGCTGTTAAAATAACTAACAACTATCAAAACAATTAATTTTGCCAAATAGAATCCAAGTATAAGAGTGACAAATACATATGCTAAGTCATTTGAATTTTGAACCTTGTTTTTCATTTTCATAACTGCAGTGTTTGAAAAAATTATTTTTATTTATTAATAAAAAAATAAAAAGAAAAGGAATATAACTCATTGTTGAACACCCAAATCTATTAAAATTGTATAAAATAAAAAACAAAGCAGAGGAGGGATAGCGGGTCAACTCTGGCCACTGACTCCCCATGGACATCTGTGATTTCAAATAATTAGGTGGTTAATCGACCGTGATTTTATGAAAATAAGAAAAACGAAAAAATATATAGTTTTTATGAAAATTATTCTTTAGTTGAAGATGTATCTGCAAGTCTGAGAGCGAAGAGAGAATGAAGAAGATGACATTGGATAAGGGGTGATTTTAGAAGAGAGAGAGAGAGAAAAAAAAGTTGAATAAATTAAGATGCCTTAGAAATTAATGACACATTCAACTTTTCTTTTGGTAATTAAAATGCAAAGAACAACAAACTACAAGCAAAGTCTAGAATAGGCTATGGCTTGCTAACAAGTCTGAAGCCTATTAGCATCCCTGAAAATATTACTGATAGAACAATCCCACCTTGCCATTTCTTGTCTGATGGATAATACAAGCAGAAATAAATTACCCTCATTTCAGCTCTAGGAACAGAGCAAAAGCTTATTCTCGACATGAAATCACAAGCCCAATGACCCAACTCGTTCCTAATAACCCCTCCATTGAAACCCCAGCCACACACTTTCAGAGGGACAATTATAAGTTGCACAGTTCATAAAGTTGAATTGCACAATTTATCAATGTTTTATTTTTTTCAAAAAAGTAATTATTTTGTTCCCGGAGTTTTATAAAATTAATTAACTAATTCTCGTATTTTTTATATTAGGTATTTGGTTCCTGAGGTTTGATTCCGTCTAATTAAATGGTCCTTTCATCTAATTTTAATGATTTTTTCTGTTAAATATCTCATAAAAGACTACAATACCCTTCTTTATTTCTCCAAATCTCTATCTGTGCAACTTACATAAACACAAAAAATAAATAAAAAAGAATATTAAAAAAACTTGGTCTTAGTGCGTTCCATAGTCACTGACTTTACCTAAGCGTACACTTTTTTATCCAAACATTGCCTTTCAATCTCTCTTTCTCCATGCTTTAAACTGCTTCTTTCCTACACTACTTGCTTGGACGATGGTTCTACAAAATCTTACAAACTAAAAGAAATGAGAGTTATAATATAATCAAAAACTCATCTGCAAATTGAATTTTGAAATGCCCACTGCAGACAAGAAAAAGAAAAGAAAAGAAAAAAAAAAAAAACAGTTTTCACAACCACGGTTTTGAACAACAAGGAAAAAGAAAACCCATAAGGTCCTCTCTCTCTCTCTCTCTCTCTCAAATCTCTTACCTTCACAAAACTCTTCAATATAGATTTCTTTCCTACTCTTTTATTCTTTTACTTTTTGGTTTTTCAATTTTATTAACGATTTTGTGTTGTATGCGAGATTGAGTTTTCTTGTTTGTGCTGATTTTTTTCCATTGGTTGGTCTGTTATGGGTTTTCAAATTCCTATCTTTCTTTGTGATAGCAATCTTTTTATGTTTATTTGAATTTTTTTTTGAATCTGTTATAGAAAACTAAGTTGGGCTTTTTGAGATGAGTAGATTAACCCTACATCTACCCACTCTTTAAGAAATCCAGTATGCTGATTGAATCCAATATTTTACCATCAACAGCAGCAACAACAGTTGCCTCCAACTGGTGGCGTGGAGAATATTTTCTAATGGTTAGCTTGAGAGGGAGGTTCATACAGTACAACATATTCAAAGTCCGACAAAGAATGAGCCTCCTAACATGCCAATCGGCAAAGGCGATGGTTGCAGTAATGTTTCTATGGTTCTCGGTGTGAAATTTTTTCTTGGACATATGTTTTTTTATTAAGGGTAAAATTGTAATTTTAAAATATCTGTCTTTTCTCCCTCTCACTTTTTATCTCATTTAGCGGACAAATAATTGATTTGGACAGACAATTTAATTAGATAGAATCAAATTTCGGAGATTAAATACCTCATATGTAAAAATATAATAACGAGATAATTAATTTTGTAAAGTCTTAGGGATGAAATAATTATCCTCTTTTTTTCTCAATTCCGTTATATGCAATTTATTCAATTTGTCTTTATATTTTTTCAATATATATATATTAATACGAACGATAATTAATTTTTGTAAAGTCATTAGGGATGAAATAATTATCCTCTTTTTTTCTCAAATGTCCGTTTATATGCAATTTATTCAATTTGTCTTTATTATTGTTTTCAATATATATATTCATATATATATATATAATATATATATGCTAAAATTATTATAGATTTATTCATATGGTTTATATACTAAATCAAATTACATGTTAATGACTTAATCTTGAATATTTTGATAAAGAAATAATAAAAATATATGATGTTGCACATGAATTTGGGTTTGTTGAAAATTTTTAGTAGTGAATTTTAAATTCTAAATTGAAAAAAAGAATTTAATTGGATTGAAGCAATTATATGGTTAAAAACATTTCAAGTTTATTAATTTTAAGTCTTCAATTTGTTATCATAAATTTTGGCCAATTTGAATGGAAGGATTTAAGTTGACAGATGCAAATATAACACAATCATATTATTTATAATTAAATTATATCTTCATATAATTGATAGTAACACTCAAGCATTACAATATTTTGTCTCTAGAGCACCAAAGACATATATGTTAAATGCATTACATGCAATAAATGGTAACAATAAACTATCAATCAGGTGGTAGTCTGTTTGGTCTTCTCACTTATTTGAGAAGTGGGAGGTCTCGAGTTTGAGTCCTCGCGATTAAAGTTGTTTTCACCAATTCGGTGAGCCAAGTTATTTAGGCTCATAAAGGCCTCCAATGAATTAAAAAAATGATAATAATAAGCTAAATGTTATGGAATTAGTGGATGTCTCATGTAGGCTAGAAGTCTTATTCATTATTAGTGTAGAAGTCTATTCCCCCAATTATGTACCACCCATGTACCTATATATATGTCTTCCCATCAATAAAAATCACTATTATCTTCTGCTTTTTATTCCTTTTCTTTATTCTCTCCCTAATTTTCTACTGTTTTATAACACATTATCAGCACGATTTCGTTCTATCACTCTGCTCGCAAAAGTTAAGATTAAACTTATTTGCCTTTTTTTTAAGGTACACATTATTAATAGTGTTTGAATTATTTTATTGTGTATTGATTATGAACTTATTTATATCTTATATATAATTTTATTTTGATTAAATTCTTCCATAATATTATTATCTAATATAATTAATTTTTTATTGCTATAGTATTCTTTCATAATGTCAAATCTTACAAAACTTGGTTTGTGGGCCCTTGATATTACGCGCAGCAAAACTATTTTATATGGATATTTTGTTACTGAGATACAAAACTTGAGTTTGTGGCCCTTGATATTACGAGCAACAACTATTTATTATGGATATTTGTTACTGAGATACACCTGGATGCTATGGGTCTTGGAGACACCATTAAGGAAGGAAATCAAGAAACAAATCAAAATCACACTAAAGCTTTAATTTTCCTTTGGCACCATCTTCATGAAAGATTGAAAATTGAATATATGACAGTTAAAGATCCACTTGTTCTTTGGAACCATTTGAAAGAAATGTATGATCGCCAAAGACTGTGATTCTTCCAAAAGCACATTATGAATAAATGCATTTACGATTGTAAGATTTTAAAATTGTAAGTAATTATAATTTTGCAATTTTTCGAATTAGTTCTCAACTAAAATTATATGGAGAAAATATTACTAATCATGATTTATTAGAGAAGACTTTTTCTACTTTTCATGCCTCGAATGTGCTCCTATAGCAGCAATATCGAGAAAAGGGCTATAAGAAATATTCTGAATTAATTTCATGTCTTCTTATTGATAAGCAAAGTAATGAGCTCTTAATGAAAAATCATGACGCTCGTCCAATCGGATCTGCTTCATTCCCTGAAGTGAATGGAACCACATATAATAATGAGCGTGGGGATAATAAAACTTCCCTAACTAGACATAAAGCATTCCCTAAAGCGAATGCAATAAATGGACATGAGCGTGAACAAAGACGAAGATATACTCATTGTCGAGAATATGGGGGAAATCATGATTGAAATAATATTCGTGGAAGTCGTGGTAGTCATAAAGATAAAAATAAAAATTATGCATCCCACCACAAGAAGTAGAAGAATAACTAGAAAAGGCAACCAAATATGAATAATGGATCAAATCAGCATTCAGAAAATATATTCGATGTGGCATGAGTGGGCATTGGACACGTACTTGTTGCACACCAAAACATTTTGTTGAGCTCTAACAGGCTTCTTTAAAAGAGGAAAAAAATATGGAGACAAATTTTGCCCACAATTATGATGATTTATAAGATGGTGCTATTGATGTTACTCATCTTGACGTTGCTGATTTCTTTGAGGAACCTGATGGGAGAATTGACCATTTAATTGATGATAGCAATATGAATGCCTCAAAATAATTTGAGTTATTTATTTATTTATTATTTTATTATTTTAGACTTCTTAATAGACATTTACTTTTGAATTGATGTCTAGTTCTTTTGAGATAGATATTTAAATTTATTTATATTTGATTTGACTCAATTATATTTATAATTGATTATTATTATTATTATTATTGTTATTGTTGTTGTTGTTGTACTGCTGCTGCTGCTACTTTATTATCGTTATTTTGTTCTTTATAATATATTATTTTTGTGAAGAAATTATGGATGCAACTCAATCCTTAGTTGGATTCAATAAAGGGATGCAGATTTATGTATTGTTGATTGTGCAACAACACACACCATACTTAAAAGTATTTTTCTCATTTGATAATGGGTGAGGCTTATGTCAATACAATATCTGATAGTAAAGAAATAATTAAGGGATTCGAAAGAGCAAATATATTACTATTTAAGGGGACAAATTTTATTATTAATGATGCATTATTCTCCCCTCAGTCTTGCAGAAATTTATTGAGTTTCAAAGATATTCGCTTGAACGGATATTACATTAAGACAAAAGATGTGGATCATATAGAATATCCCTATATTATAAATATTGTATTGGATAAAAAATGTGTGTTAGAGGAATTGCCTTCTTTATCCTCTGATTTGTATTACACGCATATTCACACAATTGAAATTAATATGATTATAAACCAGAAGTTTACAAATCCAAGTGTTTTTAGAATTTGGCATGATCGGTTACCCCGAATCAATAATGACGCAAAAAATTCTTGAGTTCTCATGTGGACATTCATTGAAGAACCAGAAGATTCTTCAAACTAATGAATTTTCATGTCCTGCTGCTTGTGCTCAAGGCAAATTGATTATTAGGCCTTCGCCAAGAAAAGTTCAAATTGAATCACCTGCATTTCTGGAATGTATACAAGGGGATATTTGTAGACCAATTCATCCACCATGGAGACCATTTAGATATTTTATGGTTTTGATAGCTGCAGCTACAAGATGGTCACATGTATGTTTATTATCAACTCGAAACCTGGCGTTTGCGAGATTACTTGCTCGAATAATTCGATTAAGAGCACAGTTTCCAAATTATACTATTAAAACAATTCATCTTGATAATACTAGTGAATTTACATCTCAGGCTTTTTAATGATTATTGCATGGCAAATGGGATATTGGTTGAACATCATGTTGCTCATGGTCACACACAAAATGGTATGGCAGAATCATTTATTAAAAGATTTCAATTAATTACAAGGCCATTACTTATGAGAACACAACTCCATATTTCTATTTGGGGACATGCTATTTTATGTGTTGCATCAATTGTTTGCATCAAGCCAATAAATTATTATAAATACTCTCCTTTACAATTGGTTTTCGGTAATAACCAAATATATTCCATCTAAGAATTTTTGGATGTGCGGTATATATACCAATTGCTCCACCACAATGCACAAAGATGAGTCCTCAAAGGAGATTAGGAATATATGTTGGGTATGAATCTCCATCTATAATTAAACATTTAGAACCTTTAATTGGAGATTTATTTATGGCTAGGTTTACTGATTGTCATTTTGATAAATTAGGTTTTACAACATTAGGGGGAGAAAATAAGCAACTGAAAAAATAAATTAGTTGGAAAGAATTATTATTATCATATATAGATCCTCGCACAATGCAGTGTGAAATAGAAGTACAAAAGATAATTCATTTGTAAAATGTTGCAAATCAATTGCCAGACGCATTTACTGACCCAAAAAGAGTAATTAAATCTTATGTACCAGTTGCAAATGCTCATGTTAGGATTGAAGTCCCTGAAGGATAAACTGCCAGTGCAAATGAGCCTAAGGCACGCTTTAAACATGGTATACCAATAGGTTCCTGATACGGATCCACTATCACCAACCACCTATGGAGCTCAAGGAAACAAGGACCACAACAATGGCAATCCATTAGCACTTCCTAGTGGACCAATTACTGGCATCCATTAGGCACTTCTGTGGACCAATTTACAGTACACTATACTGACTTATGAATGCAAGCCTGGGGAAACTGAACCTAGGGCTCTGATACCAAAATTTGTAACACCCCTTCCCGGTCCACCCGTAAACCCGAACGAACAGAGCCGAGATGCTACAAACTGGGTGACTGTATGGTCTGACATGCTGAAAACATACTATATATTGAATATAATAACATGCTTGTACTGTTTACAAAAATAATGTAATTTATATTTACAACACATGATACTAGTTTACAAAATGAAATGGGCCCAACTGAGTGCCCTGTACATGCCATAAAAAGGGTAGACAAAGATACATATTAAAATGAGTAGCCTGAAGACTGAGTCTTTACAGATGAACTGCACAGTTGTAAGCTGCTCTCTATGGTCCAATCTACAAAACCTGCGAGTTAAACAGGGTACTCGCTTGAGCAAATTAAAGCTCGAGTGGATATGTCTCAACAGATAAAGAAACAATTAGCAATACATGTATAGAAAAGACCATTTAAACACATTATGGCACATATAGGCACACAGCCATATTATACTTTCATGATACCTTGATTAT